CCGGGACCTTGGGATAGGGAAGAACTTGGGTCCTGCAGAAAAACCTGCAGGAGCCATCCAGGGATGCTATTTCGGGATGCTCAGCATCTCTAAACAGACCCAGTGGGTTGCCCAAGCCCAGGTGGGCTCCTTGAGCTCTCAGACCCGGGTCCCTGGCCAGGTCCTGCCCTACTGACCTCTCTGCTCCACTCCACTGAGCCAGGAGCTTGAGTCACCATCCAGCCTGTAGGATACAGTGGTCCCTTGACCCTGTCAAGTGACCACTAATCAAGCCTGCAGACTGACGTCACAGGGCTGTTTATGGAGCAGCCCGGCCGGGGCAGTTAGATGGCTGAGGCAGACGTGGCTCCAAAAATGCTGGGAACGCATCTCAAATGGGCAGCCGGAGACTTGTCCTAAATGTTATTGCTATTTTTAAGATACCTCTATCCCTGGCGAGGCCGGACTGGAGCCGGAGACCTCAGTTTTATTTGACCACATTTATCTCCGGGGGGTCACGGAGAGCTAAGAATAAGAAGGGTCATCGAGTTCCCAACACTATTTGCCAGGAAATAAGGACAAACTTTGCATTTCCCATCACGGGAGCGGTTCTAAACGTGGGCTTTGGGGCTAGTTCTAGCGTTGTCTGTGTTTCTCATAATCAATCTCTCTCTCTCTCTCTTCCCCCAGCCCCCTCCATCCCCCACCCCCTTCATTTCTATTTCTGACAGCTGCTGACAAATCCTGGCTTACAAAGACATCAGTAGTTTATGCCTACACTTCATCAACCTCCAGAGACTATGGCGAGCCAGACAGGTCCACACGGCATGCGGTGAGTAGAACCTACCTGGGGCAGGTAGAGATTTTCATCAGCAATCCTCATCCACCTAGGATAGGTAGCCCCCAAAGTATACCCACTCGAGACGGCATATCTAGATGATTCGGTGACCCCGCTCCCCAGACATCTGCTTACATTTCAAACTAGGGCAGCTCTTTTTTTTTTTTTCTTTTTAAGATGTTGGGGGTAGGAGTTTATTCATTAATTTATTTCTTTTTGCTGTGTTGGGTCTTCGTTTCTGTGCGAGGGCTTTCTCTAGTTGTGGCGAGCGGGGGCCACTCTTCATTGCGGTGTGCGGGCCTCTCACTGTCGCGGCCTCTCCTGTTGCGGAGCACAGGCTCCAGACGCGCAGGCTCAGTAGTTGTGGCTCACGGGCCCAGCTGCTCCGCGGCACGTGGGATCCTCCCAGACCAGGGCTCGAACCCGTGTCCCCTGCATTGGCAGGAGGATTCTCAACCACTGCGCCACCAGGGAAGCCCAGGCAGCTCTTTATTTTCAATGTAACCCACTGGTCTCCACAGTGCAGTCAGAGACGATACCAGTGAGAAGTCCCTTCCATCCCCCACCGTGGCTCCCAGTACCCTAAGGTGAGTCCACACACCCCCCACTCCCATGACCAACATGCTCCTCCTGGTCCGGCTTCTGTGTTTCTCCCCGCCTCACCTCTCTTAGCTCACGCCTCTCATTCCAGCTCTGACCACTGAGCATGATCTAGCCCCTCTACCTGGGACACCCTGTTCTCCCTGGACCTCTGTCACCACCTGACAGCCCCCTCCCACCCAGGCTGGCTTGGTCCCGTGAGTGAGCAGTTTCAACAGGTTCTCCTTCTGGCCACTCTGGCACTGGACACTTAGGTGTGGGTCAGGTGCATGGCCTCCTCCTTCAAGGCTCTGAGAGCTCCCTGCAGTTGCCCGACTGCACGTACGGAAGCTCTGTTCTCATTGCTGTGCGCATGCTCATCTCGCCTGTCCAGCTAGACTCCTCGAGGGAGGCACTGCGTCTTGTTCCCTCTTATATAACCAATGCCAAGCCTATAGTAAGCCTCAAAAACAGATGCACAATGGACCTACGATCCCCACTGGTACGGAGTAAAGAAACAATGGTGGACATGCCAGAAATGCTTTTGGTTTGATTCCTGAATGATCTATTTCCTGCAGGTACATTTTTCTTGACAGAAATACAGCATGCACTTCCTGCACACGCACCCAGTGTTAATTCCGCCACTTAGCAGGCCACAGATGAGCCACGATCCCATCTACTTTCCTGGAAACAATGGAGGGAAGAGTTATCAGGGCTTTACATCTGGCTGGAAAGTCCAGTGGCTCTGACGGTAGATACAGCAAAGCTCGATGTGACCCATGTGTGCTAATAACACCTGGTCTCCTGGGCACCCGTTGTTTTGGTTGAGATGCATCCGTTCATCTTGACTTCAGATCTCAGAGGAGGAGGGAACTACCCCCTAGTCTGAGATCACGTGCTTCAGATGGAGATAATTTCACTTCCTACCCCTAACCCCATGGCCCCAAAGACCATGGAAAGCGTCGCATTCTTCTGGCCACAGCGATCGGCTCTGGGTAGGAAGTGCGTACTAATCCCAGCCAACAAGCGGCAGCAGGACCTTTGTTGAGACTGTTGGGAAAGAAGTATAGGCTTTTTTTCCCGCTGGACTCGGACACAGTATCATACTGGCCTGTAGCTGCTGGCAGTCATCCAGTGTTTGAAACTACAGTCATCACTGACTACAGTAGGGTTGGAAGATGGAGAAAGATTTGGTTTGGGCAGATTGAATCAAATCTACCCAACTAGAACTACCCTCGACTCAACAGAGAGGCATTAAAGTCCCTTTGTGTTTAAGCCGGTGTAAGCCACTGACATATCTGGAAAGCACATTCATAGTGTCACTGGAAGATGTGATGGTCAAGGACAAGGTCAGAGTCCCTTGGTGCTCTGGTGAGACTGGTGCTTCTAGACCAACTAAAGGAACAGCGTTAGCCTTGCTTCCCCACATGACAAGTCACACTCGTGCTGCAACCCCCCGAGCGTGGGCGTTGAAGCTTGTGTTCCTGGAGAGACGTGAGTCTTGCTTCCGGGTCTGTTGCTAGAAACCTCTGTGATCTTGGAAAACTCTTCAACTTTCTAAGCCTTGGTTTCTTTTTATGTAGAATGAGAGTTTCAACAAGGTGATTTCTGTACCTTCCAGTTACAAAAATGATTTTGTCCTCACTTTTCAGTGCCCGTTCGTTTAATGTGAAGGTGCTGACTGATTCACCTACCCTGCTGGAGCAAATCTAAATGCTACCAGAAAAGGCCACCAGCTGGTCCAGACCCCACTGTACAGCGGATCTGCAGACCCAAATCCAGCACCATGGACAGACAGTCTGGCCCGCCAGCAGTGGCCCCTGGGCAACGCAGGGTAGTAGCCAAATCTGCCTACTCGAGTGACGACTTGTTATAGTCCCAGATGCGAAAATGCTAGAAACATCTAGGCTACGTGAATCAGTATCTGTGAATAAATGGACTTCTCTATTCTTAGATCTGGTCCCTGACTTTGAGCCTTTCTGGTTGGCTAGTGTGAAGCCCTAAAGTTATTGCTCCTGGGACCAGAATACCCTTCTATTTAAATCACATATTGGGAAGGTTGTTTAACTCAGTCATCTGGGTCGGGAAGACCAATTCGTTTTCTCCCTTTTGTGGTTCAGACTGAGTCTGAAAGAATTTATTCCCCTCTGCTCTTTTTCTCTTTCTTTGTCCTTCTCTGTTTCTCAGCTTCAATGACCCCTGTGCTGACAAATTACAATCATGACTCTAAGTTGGTCCTCTCAGGAATTCCAGCTATTCCCTCTAGGTGTTAGATGGAAACTGCCCCTTAGATTTCCGACCATCATTTTAAATGCAACATGATCGGAATCAAATTCATCTAATTTATTATAAATTAGATTCTCTTGGCATCTTCCCCATCCCTGTCAATGGACCCACAATTTCCCAGTCCTCTGGCTTCAGCCCAAACTTTGGAGTTATCCTTGATTCACACTCTCTCTCCTGTCTCTGGTACCCAGCTTTGTAATGTATGACATTAAGTAGCTCATCTTCTCCCTCCCTCTGAATTACTTCCACCCCTCTGGTCCATGCCTATCACCGGTCATGTGTGAATGATGTAGCACCTCAGCTGCCCTCCTTGAGTTAGCCCAATTCTAGCCCATCTTCCTCTCTGAGACCGGATTAGTTTTCCTAAGCCCACACTGCAGCCTATAATTCCCTGGCCCTAAAAAGGTCCGTAACTTCCTATTGCATCACATTAAAATTCCTGTAAGGGGGCTTCCCTGGTGGCGCAGTGGTTGAGAGTCCGCCTGCCGATGCAGGGGACGCGGGTTCGTGCCCCGGTCCGGGAAGATCCCACATGCCGCGGAGCGGCTAGGCCCGTGAGCCATGGCCGCTGAGCCTGCGCATCCGGAGCCTGTGCTCCGCAACGGGAGAGGCCACAACAGTGAGAGGCCCGCGTACCGCAAAAAAAAAAAAAAAAAAAAAAAATTCCTTTAAGATTTCGAGATTTCCCATTATCTACTTCATCCTGCCGATTCAAATTCAACAACGCTTTGGCTTATACTACCCTAGGAGTTGCTCTCTATATTGTATTTCCTATATTATTCCCTATTATTATCTCCCAAGCGCTCTCCTTGCCAACTCCAGCAGCTAGCCCCTAAGTTTAACGCCTCAGATTCGTCCCCATGACCTGGCCCAGGCTGACTCCATACCCAGGATACGCTCTCGTTTTGCCCTACAACTCCTCATGGCCCCTCCAAGAAGCCCACCCTTTCCATTCCAGCCCTCACTGTTCTCCTTCCCTTCGAACACTCATAAGGCTCATGGCCCATACTAGACATAATCCGCGAATAACCTGCAGCGTGCTACCAGTTCTGTTTTCTTCCCAACCAGACCATAAAGCAGACCTTCCCTTGATGGTAAGGACGAACCTATATACTTCTTTTATCTGCTCCATGGTGTCTAGCAAAAGGCACTCAATAAATATTGGTCAATTCACTGAAACTGACTTGTAGGGATCTGGGCTTTGGGGGTAGGAGACAGAAGCGAAGGAGAATAATGATGCAATTCTAAGTCGTCCGGATAATTACTTGGACCTGCTGCTTCTAGTCCTTTGCTGCCCTCCTGCACCCGATTACTTTACCTGCAGAACTGAACCTCCTGGTCAAACTGTGAGTTCTCGGGCTGCGTTCCCTCCTTCAGCTGGCTGACGTTGAAAAAGGAGAGGGTGTGGTTGACAAAGCCATGCAGAGTCCCGTTGTGACTGTAGGAGTACTGATACACCAGGCGGGGAATGAAGTCAGAGGTGACCGCGATGACAAAAGCCTGGGGGTAGAACCACAAGCACCTGAGGAACTGTCAGGATGGACACCGTGCGGGTGACGCAGGTCCATCTGCCCAAGAGACTGTCCCCTCCTGGGCTCTCCATCCAGAGGCACTGCTCTGATTGATACAGAGTCCTTGTCCCTGAGCTCACAACACTGACTTACCTGGCTTTTCCATCTTTGATACATGTAAGGAAACCCACAAGTCAGTGGCCATCAAGAGAGTGAATTACAACCACCGAAGCAAAGGATGCTAAGCCAGCTTGGACCATTTGGTGAGGGAGGGCATGAATCATCTCTGAGATATCTGAATTGATGCTGGCATTGGCCATGCCAAAGTAGAGTGGAAGGTTTTCTGAGAAAATGACTGAGAGAAGTGAGACGGCCACTTAAGTGTGACAGGCAAGGATACCAAATGGCCATATACTGAATACATCTGCCCCTGAGGGACACGAGAAAGCCAGGAACACCAAGGATATGGTTCCATGGTGAACCTCAGTTTGACCATCACCTCTCAGCGCTTTTTTAGCCCATCATACAATGGAAGTCGCTCTTTCATCCATTTTGCTTAGAAAAAGTGAGACACGGAGATGGAAGGAGTAGGTCCTGCTGGATGAAACGCACACACCCGACATAGCGCCTGGCATATCTAAGTTCTCTATAAATGTCTGTGGAGCAAACCAAATGACAAACGAACGACTAACTGTTCGGATGAGGAGGGACTTTCTGCAAAGAAAATCTTAAATCTTTTTGGCAGGTGTTTATACTGTCCTTGGCACCAACAATTAAAGCCCTTTTAAAAAATGCAGTTTAGGTATTGTTTTCTAAATGTATATACGAGTGTGCATGGCCATAACCATATTTGAGAGTGAGTAACGGACTTCTAATAATCACAGCTGTAACTAATGGAGCACGGGCCATACGTCCTTTCATCATCCCATTTAATTTGCAGACTGATCCGACTTGGTGAGACTCTTATTCTCTCCCATTTCTTACAGATAAGAAGTCTTAGAACGGCCAAGGAAGTAAAACGTCCCGTCATGCTGTTGTAGATGAAAAGCGCTTGGTACTCAGGGGCTCTTTTCTAGAAGACACAACTCCAAAGTAGCTACTGATCAAACTGCGCCTAATTTCTCAGCCTTGAGACGTGCACTTCCTACATCAAACATCCCACGTGTGACGGGCTGATCCCCTCTGCCTCTCTGCACACCTCGTGCCGTCTCATGTGTTTTTATTCGGTAGCCAGGTCACGGCCAGAATCAGCGTTTCTCTCCCAAGGGAAAGGGGGCTGTGGCTTTCTTGATGTGCACTGAGCTGGTAGATGCTGTCTCGGGAGACGGAAGAGGAGGCCCTGCCTGACCACCATCCGTATGGAACGCAGACGCCAAAGGAGCTGCTGGCTTGGGCCCAGCAGGATTTCCTCCGAAACGTGGACACATCTGGCAAGGCAGTTAAGGAGGTCAGAGCAGACAGGACCCCTCTTCTTCCATGTCCTATCTTAACCAAGCAGCGCCAGGGATAATTAAGACTTTACGCTGACAGCTTGGAGAAACGGTAATTAGGAACTGCAGGCTGGGCGATGATCCAGGTATTGTTCAGCTCCAGGGTAGAAAAAGAAAGGAAAGAGATGGCTAGATATGTGCAATTCTTTCCTCATGATTCTTGGCTCCGACGAAAGATCTGATCTGGACTCTTAAGGCCAAGGTACACATTCTGGTGGGTAATTGCCTTTCTTGTTCTCAGCGAAATGAACAACAAAGCTGCACACCTCCGGCAACAGCCTGATGACTTAGAAGGCGTGTACGCGATATTAACGAGGGCTGGGGAGTGGGTGGGCGCGGGGCGCTGTCTTAAACAGAGCTCCAAATGGAAGAAGCTGGGAGGTAACAGGACAGGTTTCCTGCCCTGAGGACTCAGCTCCCCTGGAAAGCCCCTCCCACAGAGCAAGGGTGTCATGAAAGCAAGCACTTACGTTGATGATAACAGAGAACTTGCCGATGCCCGAGAGGATGTCAAACCAAATCCCTGTAAGGTGGGGAAAAAAAGGGCGTCTGCCTCATTCCCACCCTCAGTCCAGTGATGACAAGGCTTCAGTCAGAGTGCCGCCTTGCAGGCAAGTTACCAGTGGAGCTCTGCCGGGCCCCCCAGGGATAGGCTTGTCTGGAAAGGCTTAGGTGCACCTCTGTCTGCAAAGCAGGGGGCTAGCGGGGGTGGGGGGGATACCGTGGCCTCCAGCACCGAGGAGATAAGGATGAGGGGCTCGAAGGGGTGATAAGGAATGCTCCAGCCCTCCGGATGCCCGACATAGTGTAAGGGGGGTGGCCAGGGAGACAGGGGGAGGGTCGGAGGGAGGGGATGGGGATGGGCTGCGTCGCCTCTGAGTGATGCAGGGGACAGACCGATATCTTTGGTTCGCACAGCATCTGGCCGCCTCAGCTCCGTAACGAACTTCTTCGCATCAAGCCGCACTTCAATGACGTTGTTGAGGAGGGCGAACACCGGCGCCAGAGGAAAGGAGGCCACAAAGAGGGTGACAAAACCAAACTGGATGACTAAGAGAAAGAAGAGCACAAGAGGCAGAAGGATTTAGACGTATGTTTGCCTTGCAGCTCTAGCCCCTGTCTTTTCTGACCGGGGACTCTTGTCCACCTTGGGCTCAGGCTCCCTTTCCGTCCTGCCCCATGGTAGGGGCATTTCTTTCTCAGCACCCACAGGCCTGGCAGTCAGTGCCATCACTTAGGTGCAAAGCTCTATTTAGTTGAGAAGATACCAAAAAAGGAAAAGTCTCCACCCCTTCCTTTCCACTACCTTTTATCTCCAGTCACTAACCCTGGTCATTGAACTCAGAGGTTAACAAACTGCTTCAGCAAAGGTCCGGAGAGAAAATATATTTTTTTAAATTGAACTTTAGTTAATTTACAATGTTGTGTTAGTTTTAGGTGTACAGCAAAGTGATTCAAACTGAATCGTATATATATATATATATATATATATATATATATATATATATGTATCTTCTTATATAATCATTCTTTTTTACTTTATCAAAATTTAGTCTTAAATTATAGGTTTGTTTTTTTTTAGATGTTGGGGGTAGGAGTTTATTAATTAATTTATTTCTTTTTGCTGTGTTGGGTCTTCGTTTCTGTGCGAGGGCTTTCTCTAGTTGCGGCGAGCAGGGGCCATTCTTCATCGCGGTGCGTGGGCCTCTCACTTTCGCGGCCTCTCCCGTTGCGGAGCACAGGCTCCAGACGCGCAGGCTCAGTAGTTGTGGCTCACGGGCCCAGTTGCTCCGCGGCACGTGGGATCCTCCCAGACCAGGGCTCGAACCCATGTCCCCTGCATCGGCAGGCAGATTCTCAACCACTGCGCCACCAGGGAAGCCCCCATTAGAGGTTTTTTAAAATGTTGTGTCCATTATAAGTTACTATAAGATATTTCTGTGTCTGTGAGGCTGTTTCTGTTTTACAAATAAGTTTATTTGTAATATTGTTTAGATTCCACTAAAAATATCATATGGTGTTTGTCTTTGTCTGACTCACTTCACTTAGTATGATCATATCTAGGTCCATCCATGTTGTTGCTAGTGGCGATATTTCATCCTTTTTCATGGCTGAGCAGACAGTAACTATTTTTGTATGGTCCTGTCATAATGACCTAGCTCTGCCATTGCACAGTGAGAGCAGCTGTAGACAAATGTAGACCAGCAGGCTTGGTTGGGTTCCAATAAAACTTTATTTACAAAAGCAGTAAATAAAGTGGGCTGGATTTGTTTGCCAAGCCCTGATGTAACTTCAAAACCATCTCCCAAAGTTGGCCTCTTCTTCCCCTATCCACAGTTGCTGCCTTTATTTAGAAGGTGGATTCATTCATCACACGTGTACCGAGAGCTCCCTGAATGTCAGGCACTGCGCAAAGTCTTTAAGGAGGCAAAGGTCTGGACCCGCCTTCAAGAGAGAGGAATATACAAAGATGTGCAAGGAGACTTCACGTGTGCCAAGAGAGAAGGGAGGATGTACCAGACAAAGCAGAGACCGCAAGGAGAGAGCTCAAGCCTGCTTGGCGTGGGGACTAAGGGGAGTCTCCAGAAGGACACCTAAGCTTAGACTTGAAGGATGGGCCTGTCACTGCAGGTGGAGTGCATTATAGACTGCATCCAAGCCCTGGAAGCAGTGCGGGCAGAGGAGTGGAGGCGGCCTGTGCCAATCAGACGGCGTAAGGAGTCCAGGCCCCCATCGTTTCTACCTGGACAACTGCAACCACCTCCTACCTGGTTTCCTCGTGACCGATCTGCCCACACTTCTACGTCTGTTCAGCCCCAAGCGCCCAGTAATCCGATCCCATCACTTAACCTACTCACAAGCATTTCAGCTGGCTCCCCTCTGTTTACTGGATAGAATCCAGATCCCTTATCTTGGGACAGGGACTGGACCATCTAAACCCAAGCTACCTCTCTAGCCCCGCCTCCCGGAATCTCCCCACAACCATCATGCTTCTGCCTTCCCGGACTCTGAGCTTCTCACCGTTCGGATTTCTCCGCAGACACGTTAGCTCCTTCCCTTCCATGGCACACAAGGGAAGGAGCTAGCAAACTCCTATGCATCCCCAAGAACAGTCAAATGCCATCTTCTTGGTGAAGCCCGTTACCCCCTCCACTCCTTCCTCACCCTCTGTTACAGCCGCCATTGTGCCGCGCTGTGATCATCTACCCACATGCCTTCATTTCCCGCTAGAAAGGCAGGGCTCCATTCCTTGTAGGGGCTCAGTACAGATTTGCTTATGCAAAGTCAGACCTGAGTCTCAAGAAAGTCAGTCTAATAGGATTTCCCTACTTATTAAGGCAAGTTATTTAACTTCTCCGCATCTTAGTCACTCCAGTTATAAATAGAGGATAATAACAGTACCCACCAAATAGGTTGACAAAAGGGTAAATGATTTTGCATACATAAAGTGCTCAAAACGGTGTCTGCCATTTAATAACTGCTCGATAACGTTACCTGTTACGTGTACTGTTACTCTTATTGGAGTGCAGATGGCTGCAATGTATCCTGCATATGGACCCCTTAGACACACGTTTAAGGTGCAAACCCCGAAGGAGAGTCAGGAGGCCTGACTTCGAGCCCCGGATATGTTGCTCACTAGCCCTACGTCCCTGGGCAATTCTCTCTGTTTCATTGGGCTTCAGCATTCTCATCTTTAAGTTGAAGAGACCGGTTTAAATTCCCTTCAGGTCTGATTTGCTGTGATGCTGTAATTCTTATTCTCTTGGACAAATGTCAAGATTCTAGGATATCCAAGTAAAGAATGAAAGACCAGGATCCAAACTTAAAATAAATTGGAAATGAAATGAAATAAAAAGTGTTCACAGAGGGATAAGCTTAACCACAGCAGAAAGTTCAAGACACAGAGCATGCACAGAACTTCACCCAGCACAACCGCTTCTGATTTGGCCCAGGGTTGAGGGCTAAGGCTCCTGCTAACTCAGCTCTATCACAGCCACGGTCCTGGATGCCCAGTGGGTTCTCGGCAGGCCCTACGAGACCAGCAGCTGCCAGCTGGTGACAAGATGCATCAGAAGGCACCGATTTGTCAAGGCCGGGTCCTTGGAACGACCGCCTGGCTAGCTAGCTGGCCGAAGGGGAGAAGAACTCTTCCCAAACAAGTGTGGGAGCCAGTTCAAGACGCAGCGTCTATCGCGTCTCTTCAAGGAGGCTTTGCTGAGTCAGGGGTGGGGTGAGGGCAATCGGGGGTGGAGGGGGATGGAATTAACAAGGAAAGCAAAACAGATGTTGGACTAGTTTTGTGAAACCTGTAAAATGCATGTCTGTATTTAAGTATATGGATGAACATATCTCTAGTTCTGGAGTTCCAAGTTGGTCTTCTTGATTCTGATGAGCTCAGGTCTACAGAGCAAATGTTCTTCTTATAAGCGACTTCCTCCAGCAGAGCTGTTTAAACTCTCCAAAGCCCCCACGAGGACTTAGCAAGGGGACTGATGGGGCAGGGAAGAGGCAAGTTACCTCCGAGTGACTACAAACAGATACGGCAAGCCCTCTCCACACTCATGCAAACGGCACTCAGAAATCCAATGTCCTTCCAGGATCGCAGGGAAAAACAGGACTCTCCATTTCCTCAGCTTCCCTTCACATGAGTTCCAAAGGCAGATATGAACCCTCTCCTCTGAGGCTGCCCTGAGGGTTTGCTTCTTCACCTTCACAACCTCTCCATCACAGGGTCCCTCTCTGTGCACACAACTTCCAGTGGTGACTCAACGCGAATAGTGCCCATAAGTGATCCCAACATCATAACATGTCTCTTTTTTGTTTGTTTGTTTGTTTGGTTTTTTTGCGGTACGCGGGTCTCTCACTGCTGTGGCCTCTCCCGCTGCGGAGCACAGGCTCCAGACACGCAGGCTCAGCGGCCATGGCTCACCGGCCCAGCCGCTCCGCGGCATGTGGGATCTTCCCAGACCGGGGCACGAACCCGTGTCCCCTGCATCGGCAGGCGGACTCTCAACCACTGTGCCACCGGGGAAGCCCCATAACATGTCTCTTCTCTTTCCTCTTCCAGGCACGTCTGTGTGTTCAGCACCAGACAACCTTAAGAGCGTGGACTCAGCAAAGGCCAGTGAAGGCCACAGTCCTGTGCCTCTTCTGAGGTTACTACAGGGTATCCTGGGCCAAGAGAAACCACCTCTGAGGTTACTACAGGGTATCCTGGGCCAAGAGAAACCACCCTCTGAGGATGTCCCATTGCTGCAGGTGTTGCCTGCCTGGACTGGGTACACTGCCTATTTCCAGGAATCAACCCAAAGAGGCAGAAACAAAGAGGAAGCTTTGTTTCATCTTGGGGAGAAAAAAAAACATAAAACCATAAACCTCTGGCATACAAATGTCAACTCCAAGACGTGCTTTTTTTGGTCAAAGGTCTAAATGCTGTATCAGATGGGCGTCCTTCCGAGGTCACTTCAGAGGACACAATGATATCAGCCTTACCAACACCAAGCCTGGCTTCTAAAAACAGCCAGCCTCCAAGAGGCTAAGAACAAGGCCGGAAATCCTCACTGGGCTGCATAATACAAGCCAGCTTGGCTCGACCAATAACAGATTAAACCTGGCCAAGCCAATTAGGGAGGAATTCATAAGTGGATTTTCAACTAAATCTTTACAAAGCCTGCTGTAAAGTGCCCCAGAAATACCGAGCTGAAAGCATGGAGACTGGAAACCCTCATAGGCACAAACCCCACTGGCTTTTCTCTTCTCAATCCCCAGCCAGCCAGGCTCCTTTTAAAATATGCAACTATCACCCGGGCTGCCTGATGCCAGAGGCAATTAAGATCCTGGCCTTGATTACCTGGGCTTAGGTTAAAATAACAAAGACGAGTGGATTACACTCAACAACATAGCATCCAGAAAGGACATTCCAGGACAATCTGCTTAAAGAAGAAAATAATATATCAGGTGGGATAGAGTGGACTGGCCAGGATTGGTGGAAAAGCTCCTGATGGAACACAATTTGTTATTCAGTTATTTAAATTCTTCGGTAAATATAT